CGTTCGCTCGTCACGCCGAAGACCCGGGTTCCATTCCCGACATGGGTACAATGTGTGAAGCCCATTTCTGGTGTCCCCCGCCGTGATATTGCTGGAATATTGCCAAAAGCGGCGTAAAACCATACTCACTCACTCACTCACTCACTCACTCACTCACTCAAGAGAACGCGAACTGCTAACATTCTCCAACATCAGCAAAAAATAAGGATTCTATCACACAGGTAGTCAGGGATATGAAAGGACCCGCTATCAACATAAGGATAGTTCTTGGTGCCGTTCGTTGTTTCAATTGTTATTGTTGAATGATATTGCGATATTTTGATCCATAGAAATAACGATATTTGCACATGTGCAGATTCTCAAAGCTGTTTGGTCATGGCAGCAACATGAGTGAGTGAGTGAGTTAAAATTTAACCGCATCGGCATTATTTCAGCCATATAGCGACGAGAACAAGTTGATGTACACAAGTGGCAGCAACATGACGTGGGTGTTATTGTTTTGAACAACACGTCGTCCATTGTTCACACATTGGTACGGATATACATATGTCATCAGAGAAACAGTTGACTTCAGTGCAAATTCTTTGCAGGATTGACTTGTTATGCACTTATTTGTCTTCTGTATAATATCACTTTGTATTGAGACCCGTGAAGATTCGGGGTTGAATAGGTCTTCAGAACCCATGCTTGCCACAAAAGCCGACTATGCTTGTCGTAAGCTGCGACTAACGGGATTGGGTGGTCAGGCTCGCTGACTTGGTTGATGCAAGTCATGTATCCCAATTGCGTGAATCGATGCTCAAACAACAAACCAACCAACCAACCAACCAACCAATACCAACTTTCTTTCTTTCTTTGTCGTTTAACGCCACAGTCAGCAATATTCCAGCTATATGACGGCGGTCTGTTAATAATCGAGTCTGAACCAGACAATCCAGTGATTAATATCATGAGCATCGACCCACGCAATTGGGATCGATGACATGCATCAACCAAGTCAGCGAGCCTGACCACCCGATCCCGTTAGTCGCCTTTTTACGACAAGTTGGTATTGAATACAATAACCTATTGTTGTGAATGCCTCACTAAAGATCTGGGAGTTGCATCATTAAAAACAAAGGAGTTTGAACTGTTCATAAGATGACTAAAATGCTCTGGATCGGAAGTAACCAATTAAAGACGACCCGGAATTGAACTTCCTCGGTTTCTGGCGGAAAGATGACTTCGGCCGAAATATCTGACACACAGAACAATGGCTGGGTAAAACGATCCTAGTGCCATGGCATAGACTTGCAGCAATAGTCGGCTAAGATCGTTTCATGGAAGGAGTCATTTTGGGTCTTTACCCCAGATCAATCCCAGTAGTACGACTGACAAATAAAGTCCTTTGAGTCCATTAACATCCAGCCATCCTGTTCCAGAAAGACTCTTGTTGCAAATACACAACGTATACGACAGTGAGAGGAAATTGACACAATAATATAAAGTGTCTATACCGTTATGACAACATAATAAATAATGAAAAATTAATTACCAGCATTTGCTTGTTAAATACGAACACATACCGTATTAAAGGACTAAAATAAATCGTTTCGTTAAAATCGCAACGTGAAAATCAGCAAGCACGGGCATGGTGCTGACAAACCCAAAAAACATAACCAAGACGAATCTAGGGATTCGAACTCACGATCACAGTGATTGAGGGAGTGAGTTGGGTTTACCGCCGCTTTTAACAGTATTCCAGTTATATCGCGGCGTGTCAGCTAAATGTGGGAGGAAAGCCCGAAGTGATGCAGGTCTCAGACGTTTACCACTTCGGTGAAACCCACGAGCACGGGTATGGTGCTGACAAACCTAGAAACATAATCGTGGCGAACCGGGATTCGAACCCACAATCATAGGATTCTGGCGTGTCCAGGGGACGAAACTCTGCACAGCGAATCGCGGCGCCTGGGACAACTGGGACCCCTTTGCCCCCTCACGATCACAGACTTTTGGCAATGGACGCAACACTGCGCCTTAGGAGGACTCCTAAGCAACCTCGAATTTGAAATAATTAGAATAAAACTAAAATACTTACATCTGCACACATTCTTCCTTTAATGATTCTGGTGTAAATGGAGCAGGCACCTTGTACACGCGACTTCTTCCTTGTATTTGTTCTACCATCACATCTACTCTATCACTATCGTATCAATATATGTACTAACCTGCTAAGGCTACATGTGTATCTATCAAGAACAAGATAGACTTCGTCTTTTAAAACGTCAGAGGAACACGTAGGCTCTAGGCCGTGTTTACTAGAAGCTAAATCCGCAATCTTAAGGATTTTGGAATTCCTAACGTCAACAAATCCTTCCTCCCATCTGCCTTCTTCCATAACGCAAATACAATGCACGGTTGTTATTTCACTATTGCGGAATCAGCACTTGCACGTAGGAACGCGGTTGAATCTAAATTCAGCCGAACAAGTACTTTCGTTTTCTAAACAACATTAACCTACTTTCAGGATATACCGCATATTGCGGATTTTCACCGTCAGCCATTACACGTTATTCTGAGACGGTAACTATGTAACAGACATACGCAGGCGCGTGCATCTCGTCAGCTACCAAACTCTTCCCCGAGTAACTCACCAAATGCACCCCACGTGCATGAGCAGATATCAAGCGCGTGCTGCATTCTGCACATCCCATGACGTGAGCAGAACGTGCATGCTAACACAGTGACCGCAATTCGCGCGAGGCGCAAGCGGGTAGAACTGAGCATGCGCGGAATTCTGTTGCGCGCGTGTACGTGAAAATAGCAAATGGGGGACACACGACGGGAGCCCCATCGTTGCAATGTGCGGATTGCGCTCACCGACCTTGGTTAGAAAATACCGTGCAACTGAAACGTAAACATACGCGGCAAACACGAAGCCTATCTATGATGCAAGAACTGGCAGAGTGATGGCAGGTGACTGCATGTCTTGGCCATGTTTGAAAGGGGAGGTAATTCTGGTAGTTAAATGCAGTGAAGTGATATTATTTGTTTGTTTGTTTGTTTATCGTTTAACAGCAATATTCCAGCTATATGACGGCGGTCTGTAAATAATCGAGTCTGGAACAGACAGTCTAGTGATTGACATCATGAGCATCGCTCTACGCAATTGGGATACGATGACATGCATCAACCAAGTCAGCGAGCTTGACCACCCGATTCCGTTAGTCGCCTCTTACGACAACCATAGTCTACCCCGGATCTTCACGGGTCGAAGCGATATTAAGAAGGGCGGGTGATACTGTACAGGATCATCCAAAATACTTCTATTGTGTGATGTTTTCATGTGAGGTCTAGACGTTGTGCCCTGTCTAATAATGAGACACCGCCCCTATGTCATAATACACTGCAGGGCAGAGGAAAGTATACACCCATGTTTGAAGTGAGTGAGTGAGTGAGTATGGTTTTACGCCGCTTTTAGCAATATTCCAGCAATATCACGGCGGGGGACACCAGAAATGCATGTTTGAAGTGAAACAAACAAGAAATTGTTATTCGATGGTGCTGTGTTTGATACGGGTATTAAAGGTGATATTGCATGCATCATATCAATGACTAACAAGAAGTCGACATCAGCAAATGAGAAAGCAGCTTTCTCGAGCTTTACGGCACTCGTTTCAACCTGGCGACTTCCATTTCAGACTACGCTTGAAAAATATGTTGACACAGTTCTCGATTAAAATTTTGAAAACTGAACAAACGAACATTCCGGTATGTCTAATATATGGTTGAGATTTCTTACATCTCTGAGTACATAAATAAAGAGTTAATTTCTTTGTCCAGTCATCTTGATCTACTTTGTTCTATATTCTATATTTATTGTATTTGCTCTTATTTGTGTGTTGTTTAACGCCGAACTCAGCAGTATTCTACTTATATGAAGGCGGTCTGTTAATAATCGAGTCTGGACCAGAACATCCAGTGATTGATATCATGAGCATCGATTCAATTGGGATACGATGACATGCATCAACCAAGTCAGCGAGCCTGACCACCCGATACCCTTAGTAGTCTCTTACGTCTCATGGGTCTAAAGCCCTAACTCGAATCTTCACGGGTCGGCAGCACGTTTTACTGCAAGCCTTAGTGGGAGACTGGCAGAATTACGAAACCAATGGAACTGATTTATGTGCTCAAAGTCAACACAAAGCAAGATAGGCACCTTATAACTAACCTGCTTGTTTATCTTGTCCTGTGTAATGGGGTTTTGACATCACATACGTCATTTAAGAGATGAGCTCTTGAAAGCAACAAACATACCCATTAGCATGACCACTAAACAAAGCAGGTTGCATTCTGCAGTTCTATCTTCTCGGCACCCAGCAATTCGTACACTTCTGACCCCACGTCAAAGGCAGGCTCGTTTGCTTTGGTGCCGATGTCACAAGCTTTGGAACCAGTGTCAGTGGTAGTCAGTTCTGTTCTCAGGTGGGAACAGATTCAATCACTCCTTCCATGATAGCCGTTGGCGTATTTATAGACGGCGCTATGAACGTTTGGAGGAGACTCTGTAGTGGCACATACTCGGTTTTTAGGGGTATACCCACTGCAAGGACATAGTTACATATTGTTGCTTGGAATCTCAACCCACAGGGTGCACGGTGGCCCAGTCGTCTGAGGCGACGCAATTTACTGTACAGAATTTCGCCCCAATGGTTTCGCAAGAAACCTATGATGGTGGATTCGAATCCCGGTTCGCCCCGATTTTGTTTGTCGATTTGTCAGTACCATCCTTTGCTCATGGAGTTCACCAAAGTGGTAAACTTCCAAGACCTGAATCACTTTTGGTTTTCCGCCCACATAAAGCTGACACGCTGTGATAAAACTGGAATACCGTTCAAAGCGGCGTTAAACCCAACTCCCTCAGGAACTCACTCACTCAACCCACAAAGCTACAAAAATGAGATATTTTCCCCATTTGAAGTACCTTCACGAGGAATGTGTCGCTAAAGCCGGTAATGCTCATCCACACCGCGGAAATATTCGACAACAAGGCATACCCGGGGAGGTTCAGCCTGCTTGGTCCCTTGATCATCTCGGGGGTGAGACGGAGCCTAGTCTTTCCAGAAGCCATCCTGTGCCAAGATCTTAGGACGCTGCATGGAGCTTTCATTCGGGAGTGGATCGCCATACCTCGGGTTGTCACAATAACCATGGTGAGCAGGATGAAGTCAAAATACACCGATGGAGGTAACACAAGACACTACTACCACAAAGTAAAAGCTCTATAAATGTGACAGCAAATAGACCCTACAAATGTGAATATACAGAATGATCTTTCAACCTTCCTTTTCACGAATTTCATTTCCTTTTTTTTTGTAATTTTTGGGAAATTGTTTCAGTTCCATAATATGTGGGAGACTCTTCGATAGTTGCTCTGAATATGCAACATATATTTGGTGTTGGCAGGTAAATGTACGATTTTGTGACACTTGAATCAAACTAACTTGGACTGCTATTTTGCCTAAACCTAGTTTCCCTTTAAGGGTCAGCATCACACACAGAAGCTGAAGGGGTTGGACGTCCAGGGGACCCCCTTCTCTAATGATAATGTCCGACGTAGCTCCGGGGTAGAACAGGCATTCAGTGCAAACGGTACTGTTAATAGCCGACTAAAATTAGCACAGGGGGGTCCAAATGTGACGTCACCGATATCAGTCACTGGTATGTCTGTCAGAGGCTCAAATATTTACACACGACTTGAAAACGTCTGACTGTGGCGTAAAACAACATTCACTCCCCTCACATACATTTAATAGTCAGGTATTTCTGTAGGGATATAACGAGGGGGGGGGGGGGGGCAAAAAGTAGTTTCGGAAAACTTGAAAAGAAAATTGGGTTTTAATGTGGAATTCAACTACTTGTAGGTAAAACACCGTGAAAATAACCTCCAAATCAGTATGTCACTATATGGCACAGATACTGCCGGTGTAACGTTAAATTTTACTTCAATCACTCACTTCAAATCAATACTGAACATTTTGATCGTGCTCAAAGCGCATGACATTATCAACTCACCAAGGAGTATCTTCAAGGCTAATTTCATATAGCATCAACCGCACTTAGTCTTACCCCGGGTACGTTACTTTAATGACATACTGGGTCTAAGACATACAATCTGTGAAAGGTACACAGTTCATAAAGGGTGGTTAAACTTGAAACATGGGGAACATTTGTTTCAAGTGCGTCCTGCAGGTTAAACTGTGTTTGTTGCAATTCTGTACATTGCGGGAATCACAACCGTTTTGATTTGGGCGTTCTCATGTCTTTGCGACTTAATAATTGTTTTCTGAATTAAGCCTGCAACATATTAATTATTTGTTCTTCAGAATCTCCCCAAGAAGCTGGTAGCTCTATGTTTATATATAGTTGTTTTCGTAGCAGCAGTTATTCAGATTGAGAAAGAAAACAAAATAGGAGTAGAAAGTAAAATCGATGATATTATATAGTTTAATTATTTCATGGAGGCATTTACGTCGATATACCGTACATCATACAATATATGTGTATTTATCTACATGGGAATATAAAATTCAGATTTTATGAACAGTGTTAAATTGTTGTTTTTCCAGAACAGTGTCTAGTAAATATTAAATGTTCACTGTTGTGGAAAAATGAATTTACGTATTGAATCTGACGACGGGAAAGATTTTGTTCGAAGAAACATTATGTTTATATGGTTAAGGAATGTTTATTTAAAGAAAGTCTGTTTTTTTCTGTTGATCTGTTGTGAAAGTTTTTAAACGAAATCAATATATGAAAATTGTAAAAACCAACATGCATGGAAACTAGGTGCATATATATTTTATGGTTTCAATGTGAGAAAACAATGGGTTGAAAACGACTACAATGTGAATTAAATTTTTGGAAACTTAAAATATTGATGTTAATGCATTAAAAAAGATACAGAGGCGGACCTTTCATCAATATATTCTTTGTGAGTTCTTGGCCGGATGGCCTACAAACAAACATACATAGTATATATGTGGATTAATATGACAGACATGTATCAAAAGAAACATCCAGACAACGATTTCACAATTACTTATTTCTTATATGTCAAGCAATATATATTTATATTCTATATAATATTTCTAATTCCATTTTTTAGTATTTGAAACATTTGAAACGTTCTTAGTGTGTTGATAAATGAAATGAATCGTTGACCTGAACCAGCTGGTGTTCGGATCTATTTCACTTGAGGGAAATGACATGTACATGACAAACCATGGCTATATGGAGTCATCCACACGCAAACCATCTACACGCAAACCATCCACACGCAAACCATCTACACGCAAACCATCCAGACGCAATCCACCTACACGCAAAACACCCACACGCAAACCATCCACACGCAATCCATCTACAGGCAAACCATCTAAACGCAAACCACCTACACACAAACCATCTACACGCAAACCATCTACACGCAAACAATCTAAACGCAAACCATCTACACGCAATCCATCCCCACGCAAACCATCTACACGCAAACAATCTACACGCAAACCATCTACACGCAAACCATCTACACGTAATCCATCCACACGCAAACCATCCACACGCAATCCATCTACACGCAAACAATCTACACACAAACCATCTACACGCAAACCACCTACACGCAAACCATCTACACGCAAACCATCTCCCAGCAAACCATCTACACGCAAACAATCTACACGCAAACCATCTAATCGCAAACCATCTACACGCAAACCACCTGCACGTAAACCACCTGCACGCAAACCATCCACACGCAAACCATCTACACGCAAACCACCTACACGTAAACCATCTTCACGCAAACCATCCACACGCAAACCATCCACACGCAAACCATCTACACGCAAGCCACCCACACACAAACCATCCACACGCAAACCATCTACACGCAAACCATCTACACGCAAACCACCTACTCGCAAACATCCACACGCAAACCATCTACACGCAAACCACCTACACGTAAACCATCTTCACGCAAACCATCCACACGCAAACCATCCACACACAAACCATCCACACGCAAACCATCTACACGCAAACCATCTACACGCAAACCACCTACACGCAAACCATCTACACGCAAACCACCTACACGCAAACCATCTACACGCAAACCATCTACACGCAAACCATCTACACGCAAGCCACCTACACGTAAACCATCTACACGCAAACCATCTACACGCAAACCATCTACACGCAAACCACCTACACGCAAACCACCTACACGCAAACCACCTACACGCAAACCACCTACACGCAAACCATCTACACGCAAACAATTTACACGCAAACAATCTACACGCAAACAACCTACACGCAAACCACCTACACGCAAACCATCTACACGCAAACCATCTACACGCAAACCATCTACACGCAAACAATCTACACGCAAACCATCTACACGCAAACCACCTACACGCAAACAGTCTACACGCAAACCACCTACACGCAAACCATCTACACGTAAACCATCTACACGCAAACCATCTACATGCAAACCACCTACACGCAAACCATCTACACGCAAACCACCTACACACAAACCACCTACACACAAACCACCCACACGCAAACCACCTACACGTAAACCATCTACACGCAAACAACCTACACGTAAACCACCTACACGCAAACCACCCACACGCAAACCATCTACACGCAAACCACCCACACGTAAACCATCTACACGCAAACAACCTACACGTAAACCACCTACACGCAAACCACCCACACGCAAACCATCTACACGCAAACCACCCACACGCAAACCATCCACACGCAAACCACCTACACGCAAACCAACTACACGCAAACCATCTACACGTAAACCATCTACACGCAAACCATCCACACGCAAACCATCCACACGCAAACCATCTACACGCAAACCACCTACACGCAAACCATCCACACGCAAACATCCACACGCAAACCACCTACACGCAAACCACCTACACCCAAATCATCTACACGCAAACCATCTACACGCAAACCATCCACACGCAAACCTTCCACACGCAAACCATCTACACGCAAACCATCTACACGCAAACCACCTACCAACTTCCATGCACTGACGTCGTCAATAGTTCATGGAATGTGAACTTTGAATAACGATTCCAGATCGAAACCGGAAGTAGCGGTGTCGTGGGGACCGTCATCTGGTTTGTTTTGAACTGGTGCCAGCTTTCAATCCTTTTCATGTTCAGTCCGATGATATGCATGTTCGCATCTTGGGGTAAATGATTAATAATATGATCTTCAGTGAAGTAGAAGTGCGCAGTGAATCCTAAAGCGCACATTATTTTAGACTTCGTTTTGAGCCCAACGTTAATTATAGCCCTCCAATCAGGTTACTCTGCTGGGCCCCTTTCTGTCTGTGTTAAAGTATTTGGGTTACGAGCGTCTTAGTGCTAAGATCACTTTGTGGAACGGGGCCCTGAGCGAGAATTCCTGCGCTGAGTTAGTGATGTTAAGTTGGCGACGTTACTAAGTTATTGCGGTGAACGGGCCCATGGTATTTATCATGATAGAAATAATACACTGATTAGTCGAGGATGGCTAGACTAACACTAAGTCTATGGAAACATTTCTTTAAAATAATTGATTTTTTTTCTTCAAAAGAACCTTTCCACTTCTGCTGTGGAGTCAATGCCACTAGACTTGGTTTAGTTTGATATAGACTTTTGGTAAAAAATATCTATATGTATATATAAATTCCACAGTCATGGCGCAGGGCGAGAGGATGGCTGAAACCCTTCCATGTCGAAAATTGGTATGATATGATGGACCCACTTTATTTATTATGTTTCATTAAAAAACGGTATCGTTTTATTATGACTACGTGTTCGACCTGATAAGAAGACTTTTGTCTCACCATAACCAATTTTAGTGTTCGTAGCCATGATTTCCCACACCTATCGGGCGTTTTAGACTACCCGGTCATCAAGGGGACGCCAGCCTGCGGCTTACGGGTGCCTATTCTATCCGCGATTCCCAACGTGTGATTTTTGTGTGTTCAATCGTGTACACATTTTGCTTCACAAAGTGGCTTATCTCAGCGAGTAGACGTTTTCATGGACATTTTAATCTGTAATGAGGTTTCCAATAAGTTCATGTTTCAAACGCTCAGCGCCCACGATAATGCATCCTGTGCTAAATATAAACCACAC